CCTTTTTTTACTTTCTAAGGATGATAACAAATGTAATATAATAACTTTTATTATAATTTGTATGTACATGTAACCCAAACAAATAACATGTGTTTATATCAACAATTCCAACTAAAAATAAAAAAAAAATAATATTCAAATTTGGTATTTTATAAACTATTATAATAAATAATCTATTAAATCCACATTTATATGATTTTTAATCTCAAGAAGTTATGCAAAAATATTAATAATAGAATAATTACTTTAGTACTTAAAATTTATAAATTTTCACATGATAAGTATCTTAAAATTTTTATAAATTATAAATTATTAATTTAATTTAAATTAAATAACAACATATTTATTATTTTCAAAAATAAAAATAATTTTTTTCAAAATATTCGAGTATATACTGGATTAATTATTTTAGTAATTAAAAATTATGAATTTGAATATGATATGTATCTTAGAAAGTTTAATAAATTTGAAAATATATTTATTATTTATAAAAATAAAAATATTGTTTACCAAACATTTAAGAATTTAATATTTAATTGATTTTTTAATGCTAAAAAGTAAAAATAGTAAAATAAAATTGATATAATAATTAAAATATAATGGTTGCATATGTTTGGTGCCTCGAACTTAAATAGAAATAACAAAATAATGGATTTGTGCATGTATTAATTTGTAAAAATCTATATCTATATTCTATACTAGTATTTAGAGGTGTAAAATAGCCTGCTTGCAGACAGCGCAAAGTGTGGGCCGTGGCATGCCAACCCACAGGCCGTATCGCCCTCCCTAGGGATAATTTGGGGGGTTGGCCCGGCACGACCCATGGCCCAAGCCTGTGTGGCCCTGTATCGTGCTACTGGGCTGGGCAGGCTACAGGCCATACCGGGCTGGGCGGGTTGCAAGCCATACCGGGCTGGGCCTTGGGCATGGGCCGAGCCAAGCCAGATTGGTTTTTTTTGTTTTTTATATTTTTGATTTTTTTATTTCTTTGCTAAGTAAAACTAAAATATTTAACTTTCCTTTGGGAACTATTTGAAAAAATAAGAAATCTAACAAAGAAATGAAAAAGAGACTTAACCAAATAAGAAATCAAAGAGACAAAGACTCAAGCTGAATAACAAATTGGAAGAAAAAAAGGCATTTTATTTCATTTAAATTTGAATGATACAAAGCATATAATGGTTGGATGAATGAAATATGAAAATTGGAAAATGGAATAAATTAATAAAATATAAAAAATACAATATAGTTACAAATTAAAAATAAAAAAATTACATTATTAAAAAATATCAAATAAATTGAATAAAATTAAAACAAAATTTACAATAATTTGAAAAAATGCTATACAACTATTGTGTATACAAAAAATATTGACTTCATCATTTTCTCTTATTGTTCTTGAGTTTGATCATTGTAGGAATTGAAAATGGTGGAGGATATGGCTATTTATAGGAATTGTTGAATTGGTGTGATGAGAATGGTGGAGGATATGGCTATTTATAGGAATTTGGAGGGGTACTTTGGTCATTGTAAAGTTATTTATCACTTTACCCAAAATGCCCTCCAACTAGTCATTATATAGTTGTTGGGGGCATTTGTGTCATTCTTTCTCTCCCCAAAACCAAAATACATAAATACCCCCCCATATAGATGTTTATAGCTATTGGGGGGTATTTTTGTAAACCCCCCCAAAAGCTCGGCCCACTACTGGCCCGTGGACTTGGAGCCCCAGGCCCAGCACGACCCGGACCATTGTACTGAGCTTGGCACGGCCCGCATTCCATCGTACCATACCATGTCGGTCCGGAACGACCCGATTTACACCTCTACTAATTTTAAAAGTGTAAATGAGAGCATGAAACTTTTTTTGACTAAAATATCCCAATTTTTAAATTTGGTCCCTCTTTAATTGTAAGGACATAAGTGTAATTTGAATAACTAGTTTACTCCTCAATAAGTATTATATTTAAGGTATCAATTCTCATTAAATTCATTAAATCCTATTCCTGATTAGAACACCCATATTTTTCAATTTGGTATCTCTATAATTGTAAGGATAAAAATATAATTTGAAATACTGCATTTCTTTTACCCATTTAATTCCCTCCATTAAGTCTTATAGTTACATTATTAAATCCCATCGTTTAGTATTCCCTCCCCCCCTAAACATAAAATTCTACCTACGCTTGTGTCATTCAAATCCCTCTCATTAAGTCTTATGTTTAAGATATTAACTCCCATTAAATTCATTGAATCCTATTGTTAGTGGTGAGCAAGAAAAACCAAAAAACCAAACCGAACTGAAAAATCAACCAAAACCGAACTAAAAATCCGGTTAACTGAACTGATGGGTTCAGTATTTTTAAAAAACCAAAGGTACCGGTTCGGTTTTGGTTAACCAATATAGAAAATCGACAGTTAACTGAATCGAACGGTATACATATATTTCTATATATTTTATGTATATTTATATATATATTATATTATATTTTCTATATTATAAAAAAATAAATATGCATTGTATATAAATATATATTTATAATATATTATTTAAAATATAATGTTATACATATTTCTAGTTTTTTATTATATATTTATATATTTTTTATAATATATTGTAAATTAAAAAAAATCGAATAACCGACGAACCGAACCGATGGTTAACCAATCAGCTTCGGTTCAGTTTTGGTTGTTGGTTTTCTAGAAACCGGTCATATCGGTTCAGTTTCAAAATTAGGTCCACGGTTCAATTAACCGAACCGTGAGCACCCCTACCTATTCTTAATTAGAATACTCATTTTTAAATTTGGTATCTTTAATTATGATGGCATAAAATTTAATTTAAACTACTACATTTCTCCTTGTATAGTTCCCTTTCATTATGGTATTAACTTTCATTATTTCATTGAATCTTATATTAATTGACCATATTACAAAAAAAGGTATGACAAAGAACAATTACTTTTATTGACGATAAAAATAAAATACAAATTTAAAATCAACCCAAAAAATAGAACGAAAAAATTAAAAACCAAAAAAGAGAGCATCAACTCTATGAACATGATGCACAAGTTTGTAAATCCTGCACATCGATGCTTTGAACCATGGTTGCATATTGTGGATGGCAATATTTGGAACCATGCATATTTGAATTTGTTGAATTTGATCAGATAAACCAAACTAAACGGTATAAGTTTTATATCTAAATTCAACCGATTACCCTATTTGAAATTTTGATTCAAACATCTAATCTCAAATGTGAAATTGGATACCATTTATCCAAAAGATTGCAAAATTGCAGTGTTTTTATTATGCCCATTTCCAACCTTGCAGGTCACTTTGCAAGCCCTGACTTGGCTTTATGGTCCAATGGCATTTTCAGTAGGGGTTATTTTTGAACCGTGGGGTTATTTCAGTAGGGGTCCAATGGCATTTTCATGGTCCGATTAGTTGAACCGTGGGGTTATTTTTGAAATTGAACTGGTACTACTGGTTTTTAGAAAATCGGTAACCAAAACTGAATCTATCGAAGTTAGTCAGTTAATCGGTTGACTGGTTCGGTTCGTTGGTTCATCAATTTATATATATATATATATAATATTATATTTTAAATAAGAAATAATATATCATATATTATAGATATATATTTATATATAATGCATATTTATTAATTTATAATATATAAAATTTATATATAAACTATATATAATATACATAAATATATATAAAATATATAGAAATATATGTATACCGGTCGGTTCGATTAACTGCCAGTTTTCTAAATTGGTTAACTGAAACCGAACCGGTACCTTCAGTTTTTTAAAAACCTGAAGTGACCGGTTCAGTTAACTGATTTTTCAGTTTGATTTCAGTCGATTTGGTTTTTTTATTTTTTTTCTCACCCCTAATTTTCAGTCTTAATTAGCATTGAAAAGATGTTAAAGAAAAAAAAACTTAATTTAAACATCCTACTTCTCAGTTAATCCTTCCCATTTATCACAACACACATTGCTGGCAACATGCATCACACCGTATACTAGGAATATCGGCGATATAAAATACAATCGATGAAGCCATATATCAAGAATATCAGCAATATAAATTACAATCGATGTTGTTGATGTATGGCTGGATGGGCGTGGCTAGCAATGTGTCTTGGATATAAGAAATCATCTAAACCTCCATTATCATGCTAACTTAGAAAATCTGTGGACAGTTGTCGATTCATTATTTCAGGCAAATGCATGTTTCATGTTAGATTTACATTTTGTAAAGGATCTGTATGTGTCTAAATTATTTGTTAATTGAGGATGGTAGGATGTTAAAATAAAATCCCGTGAGCAGAGTTATTAATTCTAGTATGCGGTCCACATGACACATTAACATGATTCTTGAGTAAAAGAGGAAAAGGTGAGAAATGTTGACAGGTCTGAACTGTAGTCACAAAATATGGAAATCTCCTCAACCAAACACGCACACACAAAGTTTGGAGGGAAGAGCCTTTTTAATTCTATCCTCTATCACAAAGAAGACAAAAGAAAAGACAGCAGATTTCCTCTTATCTGTCTCTGTCTCTGGATCGATCATTCACATAAAACCATTGCTTTTTTATGCAAAGTGGCCCAATGCTAGATATCTTCACTCTTCAATAAAGTTAGTCTCAGAAGTCAGAATTGATTAAATTCACAAGAGTACGCAGTAGTAGAGGGTCAGAAGATTAGTAAAATCACAAATTACTGCTGGGGGAGGTGAAGTTAGGGTTAGTGGTGATCCAAAGGAACTAATAATTAAACACATTTTGTAATACATACGTTTGTATAACCAGGAGAGACTATGCAGTCTCGCTTCCACCAGGCTGATGATGCCATGAGAACCCCCTTTGGTGTGAACTAACTTTGAACCACAGAACCAGTAATTAACCCCTCTCTTCAGTCTTCATCCTCTTAAAAACCCCAAAAAAAAAAGAGAGGTTTCTTCCTAGATAGTTTAATTTCTTTTTTTTTTAGTTTTTTCATCATAATGAAATTGTTCCACAAACCCAACATTGCCACCTGTCTATCATTCTTCTAGAGAGAGAGTTGATGAGCGATAGAGATCATATGGTGCCCAAAGATGATCAACAGTGCATGGCTTTCTGGAATCCAACCTCAGCCATGGCTTACCCTTGCCACTCCAGTGGAGTAGGCTGATGGGTCCAGGGTGAAGGTTCCTACATTTGCCTTCGAGGTTGTCACCACCCAAACCATGCTGGTTCCATCTATGATCGACTGCTTTGATATTCCCAGCAAAGATGAGCAAGAAAGGTGGAAGAGAGCCCAAGTGATATATCCTCTTCTTTTTCTGCACCGCCATCCATTCCTCAACCTTGTGCGTGTAATCTCCTTTCCTCCATTTATCCACATCAACCACCATAACTCCTGTGTTGAAGTAACAAGGCTTCCTTCCTTGAAACGTTCTCACCAAATCTGGGTCTGACCAGAATGCTTCTGTGAAGTATTTGGTGAAATTTGCATGGCAGTACTCTGGTGCGGCCACCACCTTACCCTCCAAATCCACCTCCCAGAGCTTTGCAATGTCGTCGACCATGATGATGTCGGAGTCGAGGTAGATGACACGGCTTACATCTGCGGGGAGGATGTCTGCAAGGTAGATGCGTGCATAATTTAATGGTTGGTCCAGAGCTAGGCGAATGGATTTGGAGATCTTCCCATGGACACGTTTGAAGTCGAAGTGATATACGTTGAAGTTGAGATAAGGAAAGGTGGAATTGATGGTTAGGAAGATATCAGAATCGAAGTCGCCTGCGAGGAAGTGGAAATCAACATTTTCTGGACAAGTAGAGTGCTGTAGCATCGACAGGATGGCAGCCATGGTGCCTCTGAGATAATTGGCGTCAAGGGTCATGGCGACATGGATGCGACCAGTAGTGTTTGGGGAGCCACAGGTGTCGCCATTGCGGAATGCAGGAGCCTCACGGAAGACGGGAATATTGGAGGAGTAGGGTTTATTACGGATAAGGCCGAGGCGGGTGCCGGCGCCGACGGTGGAGGTGGTGGTGATGGGGTGGAGGAGGAGGAAAGACAGGAGGCCAAGGAGTGGAGAAGGGATTAATCTCCGGAAGGCCATCCTGCCTTGATTAATGAGTCGGGAATTTCAGAAAAGAAGAGGAAGAGCAGCCATTGAAGGGTGGTTAAGAGGTCTAGGAAAGGTTAGAAATGGTTCATAAATAGGGGAGTGGAATGAGATTATGAGAGGTGGGTGGGATCGTGAGGAAGAGAAGAAAGGTCGGAGGATCTTGTAATAAGAACCCCCCAGCCCCCAGCCCCATCCATGTTTGTATATGTATGCATGTTAATTACTCTTTCTACGTACCATTAATTTCATCATCTAATTTTTGCCTTTTTTTTCCAAAGCTTAAATTTTTTGTTTTCTAGCTTCTTTGTAAAAGATAGAAAAGAAATTAAAAAATGAGGCTGCTAAGATATTTGTTTAGATTGTTTTTCAAGTCAATTTGTTCATTGAAAAGATTTTGACTCTTGAGTTTTAGGACTTGTCCGTCCAACACACATGCCAAATTGGTTTAGTTGGTTTGTTTAGAGGAAACCTCCGAAAAGCTCGACGAATGCTTTCATCTTGATAATCTCAGAAGTCCTATTCATTTTGAACATGGACACCCAATTATAAATAGGTATTTCCTGTTCGAGTTAAGGGACTTTTGGAAGAATACTCTTTGAATACCTCTTTGCACTATCTCTTCGGCCCAGACCAGCATTATTTCAACCTACCAGCCCGACCACATCTTTCTCTACCCAACTGACTTGAGCGTCTGATTACCTACCCGAGGAACAACTCCTTAGGCCTCTGACCTTTTCTCTTTGTTGCAGATCTCAGTGTGCAACTTCGTCTTTCCACCTCTGCCTCGTCCAGTTGGCAGGATTATTTCATTGTGTCATCGGTTTGGAACACATCGTTTTGGATAGTATTAGATTGATGCCATCTATGAAAAACATACAAAAAGTCATTTCCCAAACCCCTTTCTGCACACTAAAAGCAACCATGCTTAAGAACACATCCAACCGCCTAGAGCCCCACTCCCCATCTCAAGGATCCCACTCAGTTCGTAGCTCTTCGCCTCGGGAGCCCTAGTATTAGAAGGTCGATCATATCTTGGCCATGATAGAGATGCTGGGGCAACTAGATCATGCCCCCCAAGTTACTCGCCCTACCACTCACGCACCTACTATAGCCGATCCTTGCACCGGGTACACCAAAAGGCACCACACAGGTCTGCATGGAGCCCAATCCAACCGTGAGCGGCTGCAACTGCCAGAAGACCTAACTCCCCAACTCGGCCTCGTGCGCATAACACCCGTAGTAGATCCCATCACACTATTCGAGTGTTGGCGAAAGAATGGTGTAGACACCCCATTTTTACGCTCTTTAGTCTTTCTGCAACACTTTGAGCTTCAAGCATGCTTCAACGAACACCGTTTGCCCCTTCATCTGATTCCGATCGTCTGATCGGGATCATTTTGAACCTGAACCTCATTTCACATCAAATTAGAAATCCAAAACCATAGGTACTTAGAACCCAAAAATCCAAATCCAACAACACCAAGATCACCCGAGTTTGACACCATTTACCTCATCATCCTAAGACTAGAAGCTGAAACCGATTCCAATCATCTGATCTGAATCATTTTGATCCTGAAATTCATTTCACATCAAATCAGAAATCCAAAACCATAGGTATATAGATTCCAAAAATCCAAATTTGACAACACCAAGATCACCCAAATCTAACACCATTTACCCCTTCATCTCAAGACTTGGAGCCGGAACTGATTTTAATCGTCCGGTCGGGATCATCTTTGATCTTGAACCCTATGCCTCATGAAATCTAAAATCCAACCTTTTAGATGGATGGAACTCGAAATTCTGAGTTCAACGGTACCAAGATCATCCAATTCCAACACCGTTAACCCCTCCATCTTGAGACCCAACTAAACCCAATCCGGGCCTTCTGTTTGGAATCCCCTTCACTACAACTTCGAGCCTAGGGCATCCTACAATCAAACATTTTTCTCAACCTCTAGAACCATTTTAAAATCTAAGATTTGACCAGTTAAGAGCCTCCAATCAATCAAGCTAATCACCAAAAGTTGGAATGTCCAATTTAGGTAAATTGGTAAAATCTTCCACTCATATTCTTGATTGATTGAGAGGATATCTCTCATGCAAAACTGTCTTGATAGCCCATTCAATCACCCTCCAAAAACCCTTTTAAACCTCAGCCTTTGATCTTCCTCGTCTCTCAATCTCAACCCTTCATTCCCTTCTAGAATCATTCCTAAAAATCTATAAATACCATCTCTTTCTCACATTCTAGACACACAATCTAGCTTAGGGAGATAACTCTAAATCATTAGCCTAGACAATACCTCCTTCACATCCTAAGCAACCCCAACCTTCATCCTTCACGTCCAAGTCTTTCCCTAATCACTCTCCAACATCCCTAGAGTCTCCTCATATCGGTATTACAGTAGTCCAAGAAACTCCTAAGTCATGTATACATTCAATAGAAGAAGTATGAAATGTTCTTGAAGCAACAGTGGTGCAGCAGAAATTTACAAGCATTCAACAGCCATCTTACACCATTTGGGCAATATATCAGAAACAAGAACAGTCCATGAATGATCAATAACCCAATTCTATAGAGGTCTTCGAGTGGAAATTGTTGAAAACATGCACGCTGTCATTGGAGAACGCATTAGTAGGGAGCAAGACAATTTCATCTAACTTTTTTACAAGGTACATCTATTAGCATACCCAGCAACATGATTATTATTCATTTTATTTATTTTTTATTTCTTGTTTTCTTTGCAAAGTAGCCTGGTAGGAGTTAATCTTTGCTTTCTTTTCAATGAGTATCATTGGTAGATAGTCTTTTTTTTATTTGCTTAATTTAATTGCTCCCATTAATGCACAACCGATAGAATAACTACACTCAAACTTGGTAGATAGTCTTTTTTTAGTCAAATGGTTTCTTGAAAAATCTCTTTGATTTCTTGCTTTTTTCTTTTTTTTTTTTGTGTGTTTCATACATCATTAAGTAGGTCCCGTTCTCTCAAGTTTCAAAAGTCTTAATCCCTACCATCCTAATTATCTCCTTTCGTAGTTTTGATTATTGATTATTGTATGGATCATTTAGTTGCACATTTTAGGTTTACCTTTTTTATTAACATGGTCAGATTTCATCAAGTAGGGATACAATTTGTGTGTATTTCCAACTTCATCCATTTCACATTAGTGGGTCCCCATAATCAAGTCAAAGAAGTTTCTCCCTTTATGTCAAGGACAAGTGTCAACCAACTTTTAAAAACATAATCTTTGCTTTCTTTGGTTCCTATTTTCATGTCTAGGTTCGTTAGAAATTCATGCTTTGTGTAATTTGATTAATCTCTTTATTTAGTGTTAACTTTTCCTTATGTAGTTAATGCTCTCTTGCTTTGTTGTTGAATTAAATAATTAGAATTTTAGCATGAAAAGGGATAATAGCATATAAGGGCAACTTTTAGGCCCTAATATTAGTAAAAGTAATATTTAAAAAAAATTCAAAAATAGGTTAACTTTTGAAAAATAATATCAATTAAGGGAAAAAACACTTTTCATCTTCTTCCTCTTGCAATCTATTCACTAGCGCCGTCGCCTACTGCCGCCTGCCACCATTCGCCACCGCCACTGCCTTCGCCTATCTCTGCCCACCTCCACCTCTGCCTTCGGCAACGTTGTCGGAGGTGGGCGACGCTGGTGAATGGATTGCAAGAGGAAGAAGATGAACAGTGTTTTTGCCCTTAATTGATATTATGTTTCAAAAGTTAACTTATTTTTGAAATTTTTTTAAAAATATTACTTTTACTGATATTAGGGCCCAAAAGTTGCCCTTATATGCTATTATCCCTTTGCTTATTCTTTTGTTAATTTAGTGTGTGTGTGTGTGTGCTAATTTTAGTAAAACATATCAAGCCCAAAAATTATAAAATCTTCCTTGGAACTTTGGTGAAGTAGAGGCCGGTCTAACCGAGTGCATGTGGGGTGCCTAACACCTTCTCACACTGTACCTTGGTCCCCAGACCCTAAGAATCTCATCTTCATTGGGCAACAAGTCACCAAGAAAACCAAATTATTTTCTTAAAAATCCCGGGTTTTCCTAAATTTCCAATTCCAAAAATTTAGGTGTCAACTCAATTCGTTGGGGATTTTCTAAGAGGACCAAACTCAAAAAAAATCGAGTTCCAAGGATATTTAAACAATTTTAGGCCTACACGCACATCACTCATGTTGCATTGCATTTTGTCCCTCCAACTCAACTATAGGCGGTCCCTGGTATGATTGCTTAGGGATAACCATCCTAGAAAGAGGAGGACCCTTCTTTCTTACCTCTAGTATAGCCAACCACCGCTTGAATAAGGTTGGTGGCTCTGGATTGACGAGGTGAGGCCTCAACAACGTATCCAAGACTTGTCTTAAGATATATGGGCAGCCCGACCTGACTGAGGTTCCCCTGCACCTCTTAGGAGCCTATAGAAACAAACCCAAGCCCTTGCATGTAGAGCCCTAGATATTCTCCTTAGGAGTCCCAATTAGGCATTTTAATGCATTGCTACCTTTTTACATTTGTCTTTTGCATTTATATTATTGTTTGTATTTGTTCTTTTGCTTGCATTTTTATTTTTGTTTTCGTCTTTGCAAGTGGGTAGGATCTGTTGTGGGCCCACTCACGTATAATTCTTCCTTTTCTTTTAAATAAAAGCCTGCACAATTAAAACCCATGGCTACAACCCAAGGTCAACCTAACCCAAGTATGAACATTAACCAATTGTTTTGAGCAGTAGAACAATTAAGCCAAAAACTGAGCCAATTTGAACAATCCCAGAACCAACAAGTGGATCAATTCCTAACCCAAATAGAACAATCCACTGAGCAATTCAAGAGCCAAGCAAACCAACTCCTATCCAAAAACCAAGCCCAACCCAAACAGGGACAAAGCACTCAAGTCCAACCATCATGGGCTCCAACCTTGTTAGTACAGCCGAACTAAGGGCAATATACTCGAGCCCAACCATCATGGGCTCTATTTTTGTCAGTTCAACCAAACTAGGTCCAATACACTCAAGCCCAACCATTATGGGCCACATCTATGCTAGTTCAGCCCAAC